TTACGTTCTTAAAATTACTCAGGATTATTCAAGACCCAAAAAACTTTGTTCATGTGGACTTTATCTCTCAATATTTACTGTATTAGTAATTTTTAAGTATAATTAAGTTTAATTTAAAACAGAAAATTTCTAAGAATGTGATTTAAAGAACCAAAATTAACCATTGTATGTTTATATGTTAAATAATGTTAATATTTTATAAACTCATTATATGTTAAGCATAAATAGCCATATTTTTCAAAAAAAATTAGTGAGCACACTGGCACTGTTTTATAATCTTGTAAATCTCTGGTTTCCTAGAAGAGACCTGAATTCTCATAACTGTCTCTATATCTACTTTGTTGCACTAACAACAAGGTACTGGTTGCTTGCATAAGAAAACCTGGCCTCACACAATAGGTAGTTGGAAAAAGGAGTGTTTTAATAGAGTTTTCAGATAATAATGGATATATTTCTTTGATACTACCCTAAAACTTGGCAAGCTATAGTTCCTTAAAGGTTAATTGCAATATGGAATTGGGAACAACACCAATAAACAAAAATAAACTTTTCATATTCTGAGACCTTAAAATCTGTTGGTCTGGGGCATCTAGGTGGTTCAGTTAGTTAAGTGTCCGACTCTTGGTTTTGGCTAAGGTCATGATCTAACAGTTGGTGAGATTGAGCCCCAAGTCAGGCTCCATGCTCACAGCATGGAACCTGCTTGGGATTTTCTACCTCTCTCTCTGCCCTTCACTGAATTATGGAGATCTTACAAATGTTGACAAATCTCCTTATACGATATCAAGTCACATTTATTAATGTACCACTGATTTCATCAGAAGTCTTTGAATGCTTAGAGTGGATACAAGCTTAACAAAATTCTCATTTTCACTTGAAAACTCAAAATTCACCATTGGCAATATTTATTGTCAGTTGTTTTGAACCATGTGTGCGTGAAAATGGAGATTCAATAAAATTAATACTTCTTACTGGTTCATCAATGACATTCTTAAATAAAACTGACTGTTCTGTTCTGTATTTTAATTGAGAGTTTGTGGTGGTGAAGAATACAATGACTACTCGCCAGTTGGATGCTGATCTAATACCTACAAAGGTGCCAACACTCTTACGTCACTGATATAAATGTCAACAGAGTAAAAAACAGAAGTAACATCTGAATAGCAACATAAAAATACTTCTTATCTTGCAGATTCCCTAAAATGGTTTGAGGGACACCAGGGAGTGTAAGACCATACTCTGAACTGCTGATACAAGAAAAAAGGAGACAAAGCTTCCAAAAGAGAACCTTGAGGGATCAAAGAGTTGACCTAAATAAAGTTCCCATTCTAAAAACTTGCATCCGGGGTGCCTGGGTGACTCAGTTGAGCATCTGACTTCAGCTAAGGTCATGATCTCGCGGTTCATGAGTTCAAGCCCCGCGTCAGTCTCTGGTGCTGAAAGCTCAGAGCCTGGAGCCTGCTTCAGATTCTGTGTCCCCCTTTCTCTCTGCCCCACCCCTGCTTGTGCTCTGTCTCTGTCTTTCAAAAATGCATAAACATTAAAAAAAAATTTAAAAACCTCCACCTGATTCCTTTGACCCTCTTCACATGCTGGGTAATTTTCAAGTTGTATCCTGGATGTCATAAATGTTAAGTTGTAAAGCTTCTGGATTCCGTCGTTTTTCCCTCAAATGAGTACTGTTTTCTTTTGTTTTTAAGCAGACAATTATTTTTGCTGAACTTGAACTATAAACTGTTTATTTGGGCACTAGCACCTGTCTCACTTCAGATCCTTTGTCTTTCATTAAGCTGCTCTGAATCTGTTACACTGCAATAACTTAGGTCTCAGACAGAGATGTGGGTAGACAGAATGTGGGCACTCTTTCTCTGGCTCTTTCCTTTGCAAAATCTGTGCATTCTATTCAGTAGCCAAGGTTTCCCCAGCTTCAGTTTTCTAGTTTCCCTGGCCTGAAAGCCTGCAGTTTTCCCACTGGCACCCCCCGCCCCACCCCATCCTATTATAACTTCTCACCTAAAAAGCTTCCTTCCCAGCTCAGGGGTCCCCTTCACGCCTAAAGAGTCTGTCTACTCTTCCTGTCCAGGGGTTTCAGGCAGTTGCTTTTTGGATTACATAGAGGTTTTATAGCTTTTTTGAGGGGAGTCATATGGTAGTCTCTTCCTCCATCATTACCAGATATACAGATCCCTCACAGAAGGTTTTTGTTTAGTTAGCATTATGAGATTTGTTTTTTTATGTTTATTTATTTCTTCTGAGAGAGAGAAAAAAAGGGAAGGGGAGGGAGGGAGGGAGGGAGGGAAGGGGGGAGAGAGAGAGAGAGAGAGAGAGAGAGAGAGAGAGAGAGAGAGAGAGAATGAATGAATGAATATCCCAACCGGGCTCCACACTCAGCATGGAGCCCAACACAGGGCTCGATTGCATGACCATGAGATCATGACCTGAGCTGAAATCAAAAGTCAGAACTTAACAGACTGAGTCACCCAGGCACCCTGAAATTTGCATCTTAAAACGATTTCTCTAGTTGCTGTCAGAGAAATAGTCTTAAGGAAGTTAGAGATGCAAGGAGATCAACAGAAAGAGTCCACAATATCCCCAGAAAGAAAGACCACTTAGAAAATAAAATACCCAATGTACTTTGGTTTATAAAGATTTTAGTGAGAGAAATGTGATGAATTTTGAATACACTAAAAGAAAGATATCCAAATCTCACCTCATCATCTACTGGCATTATAAACTGCTTAAGTGATTTAAAAGGCTTAAACATCTGGAAGTCATTTAATCTAACTCTTAGGTATGGTTTGTTCTAAATTGCCTCTAATTTCTTTAAATTTCCATAGAACAAAAGTTCACTAAGTTTTCCAATAGACTTTTTAGCATTTTATACTTACATATTACCTGTTAAACTCTCTGGTATCGAAACAAAGAAAGGTGTGCTTTTTCCTTATTCTATTCTTGATTTATTAAATCTCAAGATTGTGTAGCAAAGATGCTAAGACTTTTCCCCATGCAACCATTAAAAATCCAATGATGTTCTTTCTTTCATTAAATTATTGGAAGGAAAAGTAAGTAGTACCTTACTTGATGTTTCCCTGGGTAAACAACATTGTTTGAATCTACAGTTTAATGAAAAAATTGTATTGTGATACAGAATCAAAAAATTATTAAAGTTTTCTCTCTTGATCTGGGTGTTAGCAAAATGGGTGTGTTCAATTTGTGAAAAATTCATCAAACTATAAACTTGTTATATATACTTTTCTGCATATATATTATACTTCAATTTAAAAAAAAAACAATCTGCGAAAGCTGAGATATATCTATGGTATGTACCTTCTCTAAAATGTCAATTATTCTCATGGGAAAAATTCACAGTATTCTATTTGTGTAGTGTAACTTATCTTCACAGTTACCCTATTCCCTTATCAAAAAGGTAAACATTTTAGAAGTAAAATATGTGACATATTAAATATTAAATATTTGACATATTAAAAATATATGACAATAAAAATCATCTATAACTTCATCCCCTAGCAATACCAACTGCATTTAGAATTTAAATTTAGAGGCTTATGACCTCCATATCATTGTATTAATATATGATACCCTTTTCTAGGCTTTGGGCATGTCACTTTTTCTCCAAAATTTCTCAAAAATAAAGGAACATTGTTTAGAATCCTAGAACACCAGTAACTGAACTAAACAGGCTTGAACACAAGCAATTTATAAACAGTAAATGTCTACTACTTCCTCCATAAGTTTCAGAGCCCATGTCTTTTCTGTATCTTCACAATGTCTACCCCAATGCAAGGCATGTTGCAGACGTGTACTGATGGAAAAAAAAAAAAAACTAATTCTTTAAAAGAAATGACAACAGTCACTTTCATATGATACAGTAATGTTTTGATTTCAATGTCTAGAAGAAGAGGGCATATCAATCTCTGAAAAGTACTCTTTATTAATTTCTTTACCTATTTATTCATTTTTGCCATTCTCATTTAATCCCCCAGAAATCCCCTAGATTTCTCCTAACTACTCCGGATCTTATAAAGTGGAAGCTCCTGTATAATGGGGTTACTAAATTCAACTATAGCAAAGCAACAGCTTTCTATCTACTTGGCTTACTTCTCTCCTGTTCTATCTACTCTGTCCCTACAGCAATGCAAGAAAACACTAAGACATAAGTTATCTCTTAGCCATTAAACTTTTAAAACATCAAAAAATTTAAACTAAGGCTTACATGTATAGGTTAGAATTCTAGTGTAACTGAAGTCAAAGTTTTCATTGCCATTTCTATATACTAGCATAAATGAAAAGTTACATGCTTAGCATGGAACAAACTTTCAAAAGAAACCAACCCCATATTAATCTACAAATCTGGTGAGTCACAAAGTATTACCCAACTATGGAGATTTAAAAAGGATAACACAGAAGAAATTCAAATAAGTATCTTACTATTGCTATCTTTATGAAACAAAAGCCTTATCAATAGCTTATATGCTATAAATAAAATACCTAGAGAATATGATTTGTGCTCCTACAATGCTATAAACAATAACTGTAATCAAACAATATTATAGGGTTTTGGACTATCTTTAATGATAGAACAAAAAAAAAATCCAAATAAATTCAACCAGAAAACTATACTTTTAAATCATTTAAATAGCATAATCTTTTTACCTTTTTTTAGAATTTAAGAGCATTTAAATTTTCAAATATGCCATCTCTAAATATACTGCTCAAATACTTTATTCTGCTTTGCTTTAAAGTACCATGTTTTAATTAAAGCTATTCCTAAATAAATCATTGTAGCGGATGGTCTAGGGAGCCCAAGTAAAAGAGAAAACTCCATGCTAATATTCCACTTGATTCTTGGGATATACACTGAATTACAGTGTTCATTAAACTGCATTTGCTCTTGAGGTAAATTTTAACAAATAGTTCTAACAGATAACTGTTATCCATTTGCATATTAATATTTTTAATTGTTTTAGCTAGTTACTTACAGAGAGCCATGCAAGGGATTCCATGATTCGATGTTCACATCGCTCTAAATGTTTTATCATTTCTCTGGTCAAGTTGGCTTCTGCTTTGATAAAACTTTCAATCACTTTGTAAAAATCAAAGGCTTTTAAATTAAGTACATTCAGAATCCATGGGAAGGACAAATCTGTTCCAGTATCAAGATTCTGAGATGTACTTCCTAAAAATGAAAGAAAAAGTGTAACTTAGGTATGAAATGTTAAGCCTTGAATTATGTATTTTTAGCTTGGAAGGTTTTATCAAACAAAAACTTAAAACACAGCAGAAAAGCTACACAAAAATTTCTATTTAGAACAGATTTGTTTTTCATTTTGTTTAATTTATTTTAAGCAGCCTCCATGCCCAACATGGGGCTTGATTTCACAACCATGAAATTGAGAGCTGTGTGCTGTACAGATTGAGCCAGTCAGGTGCTCCTAGAGCAAAACTTTTATTGTGGAGTCCAAGGACCCAAAAGAAATAGGCTTCTAAATTTTGAGTGTATGTCCACACGTTTTTCCTAAATAGAGGGCTTATGCTTCTATCAGATTTTCAAAGATTTAAATACCCTACCCTTATATCAGGAACAAGTATAATATCTAACCAGCAATGCATTAGCATATCCATTTTAACAACCTCAATAATCCCTGATGTTGGGAGGGAAGGATTCTTTAAAATTTTGCTAATTTGGTTAGAAAACAGCAACTCTTTTAAATGTGCATTTTCTGGTTATTAATGAGGATTCAGTTTTCCACATATGTTTAGCAGTTTTAAGTTTCTCTTTTATTGTGTATTTGTATCCTAGGTAAATTTTTTTTTGTTTTCACAAACAAGACTTCTTAATATCTACAATATTATTTGCAAAACAATACATGTCTAAAATTGTATCATTTAAAAAACACCATCAGTGGCTTCTGTTCTATTTATCTGGTGAACCATAGCTCCAATCTTTGGTCTCATTGCCATAAAGCCTATAGCAGTGTTTCCGTATAGGGAAATGCTACTTTTGTACTCCTTGGAAATTCACAATCTCCTGTCTTGAAAGGGATCTCAAAGGTTCATTTCCTAGATTCAGGATAGCCCAGAATAGGAGCCTAGTGAAATACTATTCCCAAGATGACCTGAAATAATTAAGATAATAACACATTTAAATGATTTATGGTGACTACTTATATTCTTCAGTATATACTGATCTAACATATGCATATCATCCCCTTAACTCCATTCCCCCCAAAAAAACACACCACACCTTAGGTAAGTTTTTTAAACTTTAAACTGAACTAAAATGTTTATTGACTAAAATTTAACTTACTGCTATATGTAGCCATTACAACCTCAAGAGCGCATGCCAACAAAGACATATGAAAGATGTTGTCATTCAGGAGTTTACTAAAGAAAAGAAAAAGAATGATTTTGAAACATTTACTTTTATAAAAAGAAGAAACTGTTTTATTAAAACTAAAGAATTTACCTAAAATTTTGAATGGATAATCGTTCTTCTTCCTAAAACAGATATAAAAAATGTTTAGTTAATGTCTTTTTTATGTCAGCATTAAATTTTCTTTCCATTATGTTCTTTTTAACTTACTGATTTAAGCATAGATTCCATTACTCGGTAATATAATCGGACTCCAAGTTTGTATCTCTAGAAAGAAAAAAAATTAGATTCCACTACTTTAAAAATCATAATTATTAATTTTAAAGAAGTTTTCTCTTGAAACATATTTCTGATACTTCTTAGGAAACTGAATACCAAGAGACCACAAAAACTAGCTTGTCTAAAACTTAAGACTTCAGTATAAAATGTTTAAATTCCCAATAAATTATCAAGAGGGAAGGTCCAGTACTTGGTTTTCCTTCATTTCCACTTCAGTCCATATCAATCGATACACACACACACACACACTTTTTTATAGGTGTTAACTCTTTTATATACTAATGTAATGCTTCTTGTGGCCTCGGTTACGTATTTTCACATTAGCTCTCTAGGACTGAGAATAGTCTGTCCATAAAACTGGAAAAGGCAATAATCTGACCCAATTGATGTTACCCGCAAAAAGTTTTAACCAAATAAACAGTTCCTATTAGTTCAAAGAATAACAAAATTTTAGATATACACACACAAACCATATTCCTTCATTCAAATTATACGCATAAATTTCATATATAACCAAAAAGACTTATAATTATTTAAAACACTATTAGCATCCAAATATAACCTCACTATGCTGAAATAAATGTATACAGATTATAGTTTTCAAACATATTTTTATGTTACCTCACTATTTCCACACAATGAAGCAGAGCAAATACAGAAACCCAAATCTCAAAGAAGTTTAATGGCAGTTCATAAATGGCAGAACCAGATATAGACCCAGGGTTCTGATTCAGAGCCCATATCTTTACCCAATGTACTGGTTTTAGATATTCTGAAATAATAATAGTAGTAAAATGATATCACTACCACTGATAAATAGCAGGTATAATATGATCCCATTCAGAGAAGTATATGCATTCACGAATATTCATATATGTATAAGCCAAAGACTATACACCAAAAATTTAATAGTATCAAAGATTTTAATTTTTTCTACTGATTTTTTTAAAAATTTCTACAATTTGTCTAAAAACTTCTACATGTTTACTTTTAGTTTCTGTAATAGTGTAAGGGGCATTTTCTTATAAAATTTTCCATAAGCAGCAGCATACACAGGCAGGTAAGATACAGAATCTACCAATATAAGACAAATATTATTGTAATATTTTCACAATTTGGAAAGACATTATATTTGAAATTATTTCTATTATAGTGACACCAATCGAAATGAACTCAAGTTACCTGTGATCCAATTTCCATACATCCCTGTCCCACAGCTTTAGCAAATTTCTCTTTAAAGATGCATCCAATATCCTTCACTCTTTTCAGGATACTTTCCTTTGGATTCACTGTGCAGTTCTTTAAAGAGGAAAAACTTAAGTCAATGTTGAGGATACTATTCAATCATAATTAACATGTCTGTCCTATGATATACAACTTTTCACTTTTTGATTATTTACACTATGGAAATACTTCCATAAAAACTAGGTAAACACAACTACTGAAAATAAAAGGAGCATAAAGAATTTCATTTTAGGATGTTAGTAACCAAAAAACACTAAAGCACAAATAAAAAACCCTACTATCTAAATTTTCTGCTGCTATGTTAAAGAAGAGATTTGGTAGCCCCTCCATCCATCAAAAAAGAGACTCAAAGACATTACAAACTGATACCATGAAAATACAAAGGATCATAAGTGACTACTAAGAACAATTATACACCAACAACTGGAAAACCTAAAAGAAAAAGAAAACTTCTTAGAAACATACAAACTACCAAATCTGAACCATGAAGAAACATAAAACCTGATCAATCAAGAAACAAAAGTAATAATCAAGAAACAAAAGTCAAGATCCAGACAGCTTCACAGGTGAATTTTATCAAACATCCAAAAAGGAATTAATACCAAAACTTCTCACACCCTTCCAAAAAATAGAATAACACTTCCAAACACATTTTACAAGGCCAGCATTACCCTGACACCAAAACCAGACAAGGATACCACATGAAAACAAAATTATAGGCCAATATCCCTGATGAATGTAAATGCAAAAATCCACACAGAACAAACGATTAGGAAGCCAAATTAAACAATATGTTAAAGGATCATATACCACAATCAAGTGATATTTATTCCAGAGATGCTAGGATGGCTCCACATTCACAAATCAATCGATATGATACATTAACACAATGAAGGATAAAAATGATACAATCTCAATAGATGCAGAAAATTCTTGACAAAATTCAACATCCATTTACAATAAAAACTCTCAACAAAGCAAGTAGAGAGAGAAATACTTCAAAATAATAAAAGCCATTTATGACAAGCCCACAGCTAACATCATATTCAGTGGTGAAAAGCTGACAGATTTTCCTGTAAGATCAGAAACAAAGACGCTCACTCTCCTCCCACTTTTATTCAACATAGTATTGAAAGTCTTAGCCAGAGCAAATTGGCAAGAAAAAGAAATAACAGGCATCCAAACTGGAAAAGAAGTAAAACTGTGTCTATTGATACATGACACATTATATATAAAAAACCCTAAAGACTCCATCAAATCATTGTTAGAATAAACAAATTTAGTAAAGTTTCAGGATACAAAATCAATGGACAGAAATCAGGTGTGTTTCTATGCACTAATAATGTACTAGCAGAAAGAGAAATTAATAAAAAATCCCATTTACAATTGCATCAAAAAGAATAAATTACCTAGAAAAGAAACTGAAGAAGACAAAAATAAATGCAAAGGTATCCCATGTTCATGGGCTGGAAGGATGAATATTGTTAAAATGTCCATACTACCCAAAGCAATCTACAGATTCAATGCAATCCCTATCAAAATTCCAATGGCTTTTCCACAGAAATAAGTGATCCAAAAGTTTGTACCCATCAACAAAAGATTAAAGTATTCTTGAGAAAGAACAAAGAACAAATCACACTACCTGATTTCAAACTGTATTACAAAGCTATAGTAATCAAAAGAGTACGTTATTAGCACAAAACAGACATGCAGAGCAGTGGAACAGAATAGAGCCCAGAAATAAACTCATGCATACAATTAATCTGTGACAAAGGAAGCAAAAATATACAATGGGGAAAAGACGGTCTCTTCAATAAACAGTGCTGGGGAAACTAGACAGCCACAGGAAAAAGAATAAAACTTGCCAACAATACAAAAAATTAACTCGAAGTGGATTAAAGACCTAAATATAAGACACAATACCATAAAACTCTTAGAAGAAAACATAGGAGATAAACTCCTTGACATTAGTCCACAAAACAAAAAGGAAACCAATCTACTGAATGAGAGAAATATTGGCAAATCATATATTTAGCAAGGGGTTAATATTCAAAATATATAAATAACTCATACAAGTCAACAAATAGTCTGATTTTTAAAAAAAGGCAGACCTGAATAGACACTCTTCCAAAGAAGACATACAGATAGCCAATCAACACATGAAAAGAAGTTCAACATCACTAATCATCATGGAAAGGCAAATCAAAACCACAATGAGATATCACCTTATACCGGTCAGAATGGCTACAATTATAAAGACCAGAAATAACAAACATTGACAAGGATGTGGAGAAAAAGGAGCCCCATGTACTGTGGGAATGTAAATTGGTACAGCTACCATGGAAAAGAGTATGGAAGTTCCTCAGAAAATTAAAAATAGAACCATTATATGATCTAGCGATTCCACTTCTGGTATTTATCTGAAGGAAACAAAAACGCTAACTCAAAAAGATCTGTATCCCATCTTCACTGCAGCATTATTTACAGTAGAAAAGACATGGAAACAACCTAATTGTCCATGACTGATGAATGGATAATATATATACGTATGTACATATGCACGTATATAAAATGGAATGTTATCCATCCACAAAAAATGAAATCTTCCATCTGTGACATGTATGGAACTTGAGGGCATTATGCCAAGTGAAATAAGTCAGACTGAGAAAGACAAATACTGTAAGAACTCATTTATATGTGGACTCTGAAAAAAAAAAAAAAAGACAAACACAAAAAATCAAGCTAGATACAAAAAACAAATTGGTATTGCCCGAGTAGGGGTTGGAGGTGGGCAAAATGGGTGAAAGCTGTAAGAATTTACAAACCTTCAGTTATAAAATAAATAAAATAAGTCATGAGGATGTAATATACAGCATGGCGACTATAGATAATAATACTGAAATGTATAATTTGAAAGTTGCTAAGAGAATAAACCTTAAAAGTCCTTATCACAAGAAAACAAAAATTTTTTTTAATTTTTTTTTCAACGTTTATTTATTTTTGCGACAGAGAGAGACAGAGCATGAACGGGGGAGGGGCAGAGAGAGAGGGAGACACAGAATCGGAAACAGGCTCCAGGCTCCGAGCCACCAGCCCAGAGCCTGACGCGGGGCTCAAACTCACGGACCGCGAGATCGTGACCTGGCTGAAGTCGGACGCTTAACCGACTGTGCCATCCAGGCGCCCCGAAAACAAAAATTTCTAATTTCTTTCTAATTTCTAATGTATGATGACATGGGAACCAGACTTACTGTGATCATTTTGCAATATATACAAATATTTAATCATTATGTTACATATTTGAAACAAAATGTTATATATATATCAATCATACTCCAACAAAAATAAACTAAAAATGAAACAATTATAATACGACTACTAAAATAAAAAGAATCTCATGTACTTTCATAAATTATCTTCAATTAAGAGTTAAATTGGGATGTATATTACCCTAAAAATACAAATAATAAAATTAAAACTATGATTTGAGTTTGGTATCATATCCTAATTAAAAACTGTGCTAAGAGTTAAGTATTATTAAATCATTTCACTACCTTTTCAAAACACATAATAGAGAAATGGTTACAAAAGAAGTTTTAATACATGCATCATATGGGGTGGGGCTCTAGTAATTAAAATTTATCACAAGATGATTACTAAAATGCATATCATGATACATTAAAATATTCTGTAATTCATATTGTAATCTATTAAAACATATCAAAAACTTGATTCCCTTCAGCTATAACCAAAGAGTTACTATATTCTTACAATCTTTATGGGTCAAATACATTCAAAATACTATAAATTAGAAAATAAACTTTTGGCCTCAGCAATCACACAACAAAAAGAAATAAAAGGCATCCAAAGGGGCAAGGAAGAAGTCAAACTTTCACTATTTGCAGATGACATGATACTCTATGTAGAAAACCTGAAAGATTCTGCCAAAAAATTACCAGAATACACAAATTCAGCAAAGTAGCAGGATATAAAATCAATATGTAGAATTCTGTTGCATTTTTATACAGCAATAACGAAGCAGCAGAAAAAGAAATCAAGGAATCAATCCCATTTGCAACTGCACCAAAAACAGTAAGATTCCTAGGAATAAACCTAACTAAAGAGGTGAAAGATCTATACTCCGAAAACTATAGAACACTTATGAAAGAAACAGAAGATGACACAAAGAAGTGGAAAAGCATTCCATGTTCATGGATTAGAACGAACATTGTTGGGGCGCCTGGGTGGCGCAGTTGGTTAAGCGTCCGACTTCAGCCAGGTCACGATCTCGCGGTACGTGAGTTCGAGCCCCGCGTCGGGCTCTGGGCTGATGGCTCAGAGCCTGGAGCCTGTTTCCGATTCTGTGTCTCCCTCTCTCTCTGCCCCTCCCCCGTTCATGCTCTCTCTCTGTCCCAAAAATAAATAAACGTTGAAAAAAAAAAATTAAAAAAAAAAAAAAAAAAGAACGAACATTGTTAAAATGTCTATACTACAGAAACCAATCTACACATTTAATGCAATCCCTATAAAAATACCACCAGAGGGGCGCCTGGGTGGCTCAGTCAGTTAAGTGTCCAACTTCAGCTCAGGTCATGATCTCACACTCCGTGAGTTCAAGCCACGCGTCAGGCTCTGTGCTGACAGCTCAGAGCCTGGAGCCTGCTTCAGATTCTGTGTCTCCCCCTCTCTCTCTGCCCCTCCCCTGTTCATGCTGTCTCTGTCTCAAAAGTAAAACTAAAAACATTTAAAAAAAATTAAAAAAAAAATACCACCAGAGTTTTTCACAAAGCTAGAACAAACAACGCTAAAATTTTTATGGAGCCACAAAAGACCCCAAATAGCCAAAGCAATGTTGAAAAAGAAAACCAAAGCAGGAGGCATCACAATCCCACACTTCAAGCTGTATTACAAAGCTGTAATCATCAAGACAGTATGGCACTGGCACAAAAACAGACACATAGATTAATGGAACAGAATAGAGAACCCAGAAATGGATCCACAACTATACAGTCAATTAATCTTCAACAAAGCAGGAAAGACTATCCAATGGGGAA